CCCCCCTCCACCTCTGGCTGGGTGAGCCCCAGGGTGGGTGGGTGGGGGCGCGGGGGGTGGCGGTGGGAGCGGGGTCTCAGCGCTGGCTGCCGCCGCAGGCCGGGATTCCTCGCGGGACGAGCAGGGCGCCTGCGCCCTCCTCTCCACCCAGCTGAACGCGCTGCTGGGCGAGCGCCCCGTGACGCACCGCGAGGTGCAGGGCAACGAGTCCGACGTCTTCATGGAGTACTTCCCCCGCGGCATCACCTACCAGGTACGGGTGCTGGGCATCCCCGGTGGGGGCTCGGGGCGCTCCCGGCGCTCAGCATCCCCACTGAGCACTCAGCATCCCCACCACTGGGCATGTGGGATCCCCTCTGGGTGCTGGGCAGCCCTAGCAGGTGCTCAGCATCCCTGCTGGGTGCTCAACACCTCTACCACATGCTCAGCATCCCCTCTGGGTGCTCGGTATCTCTGCTGGGTGCTCAACACCCCTGATGGTTACCGAGCACCCTTGCTGGGTGTTCAACACCTCTACCGCATGCTCAGCATCCCCTCTGGGTGCTCAGCATCCCTGCTGGGCGCTGGGCACCCACCAAGCACTCAGCATGCCCCGTTGGGTGCTGGGCACCCCAGCGGGCGCTCAGCACCCCTGTGCCGGCAGGAGGGCGGCGTGGACTCGGCCTTCAAGCCCACCCGCCCCGGTGCCGGCCCCGTGCGCAAACTCTACCAGGTGAAGGGGAAGAAGAACATCCGGGCGAGCGAGCGGGGCCTGAGCTGGGCCAGCTTCAACACCGGCGACTGCTTCATCCTCGACCTGGGCGAGGTGGGCAGGGGCCGCCGGGTGGCCCTGTCCCCACCGTCCCTCTCCCTGTCCCCCAGAGCTTCTCACCTCGAGCGTCCTTCTGGGTGGCCATCTGTCTGTCAAAGTGTCCATCCATCCGTAGGGGTGTCTGTCTGGTTTTCTGGGTGTCTATCTGTTGGGATGTCTGTCTGTCCTTCTGAGTATCAGTCTGTTGGGTTGTTCGTCTGTCCTTCCGGGCAGCCATCTGTCCACTGGGGCATCTGTCTGTCCTTGGAGATGTCTGTCTCTTGGGGTGCCCATCAATCAGTTGGGGTGGCTCCCCTATCCATAGGTGTGTTTGATCGTTGGGGTATCTGTCTGTCCATCTGGGTGTCCATCCATCCATTGGGGCATCCCTTTATCCATCTGGGTGCCCGTCTGTCGGGGTGTCCATCTGTCCAGAGCAGCGTTTCCCTGGGCCAGCGTCCACCCCAGCGACTGCTTCGTCCTCAACCTGGGCGAGATGGGTTGGGGGCCACTACGGTGGCCCGGGGAAGGTGGGATGGCTCTGTCACCACTGTCCCTCTCCCTGTCCCCAGACCCTCTTCGTCTGGTGCGGGGCCAAGTGCAACGTGCTGGAGCGCAGCAGGGCGCAGGAGCTGGCTGCGGCCATCCGGGACGGCGAGCGGGGCGGCAAGGCTCGCCTGGAGATCGTGGCAGATGGCGAGGAGCCGCCTGAGATGCTGCAGGTGCGCCGGGGCCCTGACGTCCCCAGTGGGAGCAGAGGGGGTCCCGAGTGTCCCCGGGGTGGCTCTGTGACAGCCCCTGTCTCTTCCCCCGGCAGGTGCTGGGCCCCAAGCCCACCTTGCAGGAGGGCAGCCCCGAGGAGGACGTCTTGGCTGATCAGAGGAACGCGGGGGCAGCCATCCTCTACAAGGCAAGGCCACCTCGGGACACCAGGGTGGTCCCCGGGCTGGGCATAGCTGAGTGTCCCCATGGTGGTCCTGGGGCTGGGCATGGCCAGGGGACACCGCGGTGGCCCTGGGGCAGGGCACATATGGGGGATGCTGCAGTGGCTGCGTGGGGGGACACAGGACCAGGCACGGCCGAAGGACCCTGGGGTGGCCCCGTGGTGACATCCTGGCCGTGGGCAGGTGTCGGACGCAACGGGGCGCATGGACCTGACCCAGGTGGCCGCGAGCAGCCCCTTCAGCCAGAGCCTGCTCTGCTCCGACGACTGCTTCGTGCTGGACAACGGCGCCGGCGGGAAGGTCTACGTCTGGAAAGGTGCCTGGGGATGGGGACGGGGGGGGACGCGGGGACAGGGGCCACCCCCAGCGTGGCTCTGACATCCCCGTGCGCAGGGCGCAAGGCCAACGAGCAGGAGCGCCAGGCGGCCCTGAAAGTGGCCGAGGAGGTCATCGCCCGCATGGGCCACTCGCCCCAGACACAGGTGGGTGCAGGCGGTGAGGGGTGCCCAGGGGCTGGCACAGGCGAACTCACCCCGTCCCGGTCCCCGTCCCCTCCCTGTCCCTGTCCTGGCAGGTGGAAATCCTGCCCGAGGGCCGCGAGACGCCCCTCTTCAAGCAGTTCTTCACCAGCTGGAAGTGAGGGAGCGGGTACCCGCGGGGCCAGCGCCCGGCCCAGGGCAGCACCAGGCTTGTGCCGGCTGTGCCAGCTCCCTGCCAACACCTGCGCCCTGCTCAGCTGTCCCTGTGACCGTGCCATCCCCATCCCCATGTCATCCCCATCCCCATGCCTACATCAGTCACATCCCCATGCCATCCCCAAGCCCGTGCCAACCCCATACCGTCCCTGTGCCATGCCCACGCCACCCCCGTGCCTTTGCCCGCCCCATGCCCATGTCATTCCCATCCCCATGCCATCTCGATCCCCAAGCCCATGCCATCCCCGTGCCTTTGCCCGCCCCATGCCCATGTCATTCCCATCCCCATGCCATCTCGATCCCCAAGCCCATGCCATCCCCGTGCCTTTGCCCGCCCCATGCCCATGTCATTCCCATCCCTTTGCCATCCCCAAGCCTGTGCCATCCCCAAGCCCATGTCATTCCCATCCCCTTGCCATCCTCATGTCCATGCCATCCTCAACCCCATCCCCATGACCATGCCATCCCCATTCCTTTGGCATCCCCGTGCCGTTGCCCACCCCATCCACCTGTCATCCCCGTCCCCATGTCATTCCCATCCCCGTGCCATCCCCGTCCCCGCGCCATCCCCATCCCCGTGTCATTCCTGTCCCTGTGCCATGCCCATGCTCTGTGCCAACGCCGTCCCCCCACCCTCACTGCTGCCACACCTCTGCCACCTCCACGCCCTCACCGCCTTCCCGCTCGTGCCCGCGCTACCCCCGTGCCCACGCTGTGCCACCCCCGCGCCCCATCATCTCTGCGCCCACGCCATGCCGCGCTGTCCCCGTGCCCACATCATCTTCTTGCCCACGCCGTGCCCGTGCCCACACCGCCTCTCTGCCCACGCCAGGCCCATGCCCACGCGTCTCCCCCGTCCTGCGCCCAGGCCCTGGCGAACACGGGGTGGGTGCTGAGCCCTGTGTCTCGCTGCTCCAGGTGCGGTGCTACGTGAGCACCCCAAGATGGCTGAGAGAGGTGGGAGATGGCCCGTGGCACCCGCCTGGCTGCCAGCCCTGGGTCTCCAGTGTCCCCACATCCCCAGTGTCCCCACGTCCCCAAATCACCCAGGTGCCCAAGTCCCTCATGTCCCCAAATCCCTGGCGTCCCTGCACGCCTGGGACCTGCATCCCCAAGGTCCCCTCAGCCCGGTGTCCCTGCCGCCTCCATATCCTCATGTCCCCGGTGTCCCCACTCCCCGCTACCTCCACAGTCCCTGCACCCTGATGGCCTCAGTGTCCCCAAAACCACCCCTAAAGCCCCTCTACACACCCAGGGCCACCCAGACCCCGTCGCTGCCTGCACATTTCTGCCAGCCGCTGCCTCCGGCTGCTTTTCTCACCCAACCTCCCTCCGTATTAGACTCAAATAGTTAGTGCTGGGGCTAATTACGTATCTAATTATCCCTGCCTTCGCTCCTCTCTCCGGAGCACGAGCCTGGTCACGATGACCCGTTGCGAAAACACGTGGCGATTCCCACGCACGGCCCAGCTTTACCTTATTAAAAGATTTCTTGTTGGCGCTCGCGGCTGACGTTAGGAATACGTGAGCTCTGCCTGGCCCCACGCCAAACACCAGCATTTCACCCCAATTCACGCCCGGGACCGCACAGCCGGATCCTGCTGCAGCCATCACCAAAGAAAAGCCCTTTTATTGTTGCCGGGATGGACAGGGACGGCATGGGAGGCGTGAGCGGTGGGGAAGGAGCCCACGGGACCCCCGGGGAATGGGCTTGGAGGAGCCACCGCGTCCCCCAGCGCCCGTGGGAGCCACCGGCATCTCCAAACTCCTTCTACTTCTAAAGCAACACCAAGGAAAGAAACTCAACAAGGGGGGAAGGTGGCAGCTGGGCTGGGCTCTTCCTTGTTCACAGTGAATTTGGGGTGATGGGGGGAGGGATCCCACGCTCACAGGTTTTGCTGGAAAAAAAAACCAAACCAAACCCCAAACCACCCGCTTTGGTCTGGTTCGACCTCCTCCGCAGGGAGCTTGCTCGCACCCAAGTCGAATCCCTGCAGCAGGGTTTGGGGAGAGGGGAGGGCAGAGGAAACGCCCCTGGGGGACAGCAGGGAGGAGGACACAGGGACAGCGGTGGCCCCGCTGGCAAGCTCGGGGGGGCGGGTGGTGGCACCGCTGTGGAACCAGGATTTGGCTCTCTAGGTGGTGTTAGACCCTGCGAGGTGCCAAAAGCAATCCAGTGAGCTTCGTGAGCAAGGTGAAATGGGGAAAGCGGTTTCTCCGTCGTGGCCACGTCAGTTCTGAGGCCACAGGGTTGGAGGGAGCGCGGGGGGAGAGGCAACTTGTTCCCTGAAAATGCCCCGTAAGGGATTTGTCCCCTCCTTCAGCCCTGAAAGAGAATCCATGCCCCAAACCAGGGGGAGGAGGGGGAGATCAGCACTGCGGGGGCTCAGGATGGGATCGGGCCCTTCATCCCGACCAAGGGCCAGCTACGGGGATGGGAGAGGGCAGAGGAGAGCAGCGCCTGGGTCAGCCCTGCTGCTGAGGGAGCAGGGCAATGGCACTTGGAGAAAAAAAAAGAAGAAGAAATAAAAGCCACATATCGTTTGGAAGAATCAGGCAGGAGCCACGTGCTCCCGGGAGGACGGAGCGGCTCTGGTCCCCGCAGCCCCGCCAGCCCCCTTACTCAATCAGTTCCACATAATTGGCAGGGAACATGCCAAAGTGGCCGTCGGGACCGTAGCCACGCCACCAGCCTTCGTCGATCATCTCGATGTTAGTGATGATGTTTTCCGGATCAAATGAGATCTCAGTGTCATCAGCTGGAATGAGACAGAGCGAGGGGGGGCTCAGAGCCAAGCCGAACCCCCCCAGCACAGCCGGGGACGCTGGGACCCCCCGCCTGCCTCGGACGTCCCTCCCGCAGGGACACAGTGCCAGGCACGCAGCCCCCGCCGGAGCCCCCGCTTAAAGAGAGGAGGCGGTGGCAGAGTCAGCTTCCCCGGGGCTGTGTCCCGCCGGAGCCCAAGCCCCTCGACAGCCACTCCTCACAGCAGACTGGCGATTTCACGGCTGGAGAAAGCACGGGCAGCTCAGCCCCGCTGCTGCTGTGAAAGGCCAGGGGTCCAGTAAGTTATAAGATGCGAATATCCAGGCAAAACAGGCTCCGAGGCAGGAGGCAGGGGAGGGAAGGCAGGGAGGCGAGTGAGAAACAGATGTTAGGGGGGAAAAAAAGAGAAGCCATCAGCTGCCTTCCTTTTCCAGCTCCAATTTGGGTGGAAGACGCTGTACCTAGCACCCAGCCGTGGGATCGCCTGGCGTGGTGGGCGATGTCTCCGGTCCAGCTCTCTGGGAAGAGACTGGGCCCAGCAAAGCCCTGTCCAGTTCAGAGGGAAAGGCAGAGCTCTGCAGGTCTTACCAGCCTGGTAGTCGTAGAGCGCCCGCGCACACAGCCCCTTCCCCGTCAGGTCCGGCGGCTGCTGGTACTCAACCGGGTAGTCGTATTTGGCATCCTCAACGTGTTCCTTCAGGAAGGAGAGAGGCAGGAAAGGAGTTACCAGCGTGGGCGATGCTGTGCCAGGCAGCTCGTGCTTGGCTAGCCGCAGCAAGGGTCTGCGGCCCGGGGTCTCGCCGCCCCAACGCACGGCACGCGGGGTGCACGTCACCCCTCTCCGCTTCTCGTAGCCCCGCTTGGTTTCCTGGGTGAATGGGGAGGTGTTGCACACCGGGAATTGCAGGAGAAAACAGTGGGAGGGAGGAATACAACACCGTGCAACACCCAGAGATTTAAATCAGCCCCCCGAGCCTTGGGGAACTGCGTGCAGGAGGTCCCAGATGCCCCCCCCCCCGTAATAAAAACGCTGGCTCTGGGGGCTCCACGCATCTCTGCCAGGAGATAAAGGGGACGAGCGTGCAAACCAGCCCGGCACCGAAGAGCGGAGGCGGCCAGCTCTCCCGTTTGGCTCACGAGCCGGCACCGATCCTGCAGTGCCTCTGGCCCAGGAGCCAGCATCACAACCAGAAACACCGGAGACCAGCAGCAGACAACCCTTCTGGAAGCCGATCCCTCGGGATCTCCGCTGCAGACGGCAGTTCATCACCCCCACGTTTAAGCCTGTTGAAGCTGGACAAGCTCCAGCTCCAGTTTTCCAAGCGTTTCTCTCTCATGACTGTTTTGAGACCTGAGCTGGCTGCTTTTTACTTTTCTTTCGTACGGAAAGGCTGAGGCGATCACTCAGCCCATCTCCCGCTCCCTTTGAACCAGCTGGACACTTCCAGACCAATTCGAGAATGAGAAAATTAAGTATGTTTGAAATGCTTATGGTTTTGTGAGGGGGGGGACGGGACAAGACGGATGAACAGAGGAGAGGAAACCAAACGGTCACCACAACTCCGAGGGAAATACTGCAGCATGACACAACCCCGCTATTAGACGCTGGAGAATCTGACGGGCACGCCAAGAATAGCTGAGCTTTGTCGGCTCCGCTGGTTTTGGACGTGCAAAGAAGCAGGAGAAGGAGGAGAAGGCGCTTTGGCCAAGGGGCTGATGGGGCTCTCCCCGTGCCCCCTCCTGGGGCTCCAGGGCCGCAGTGACGCCGGCCGGAGCACCCCAGGGTGCGGGACAGGTGACAGGGGCTCGGCGCCAGCACCTCTTGCTGTCAGCGCAGGGAAGGGATGCCGCAGCGTCCCCTCGCCGTGCGGATGCGGCCCGAGCATGTGCGAGCGCCGGGGTTTCTCCGTTTCCTACTGATTTTAGCCCAGGCAGCCGGGCTCCGAGCACCGGAGGGGGGATTTGTACCCAAAGAGACGAGATGCTCGTAAGAGGGTTCCAGGCTCACCCTAACAGATGAGACACAGCCCTGCCCTCTCGCGCGAGGATCCTGGCCAGCCCCGGGTGCCCTTTTCCCCCCGGGGTCCTCCAGCCTCCCCCATGCACCAACCTGAGGTGGTTCTTCATAGATGGCCGAGGGGTCCAGCGGCTCCGTGTACAGATTCGCCTCTTCCACGTGGGAAGCTGGGACGCTTGAATTGTACCCGGCGTCTCGTCCTGCCAAAGAAACGCACGGTATCTCACCACGATATCCATCACCGAAACCTCTCCCTGTCCCCTCGTTCATCCAGCTCCAGGCTGAAGTGCCACCGAACTCCTGCTACGAGCTGGCCGTCACCCGGCTCTCCTGTCCTGCAGAGGGGACGGGTCCAGCAAGCACGACCCCAGCCGCGGGGTGAGCAGGGGCGTAGGGAACGGTAAAAAGGACAAGGGAGAGATCCAGGACCTCCGATGGGGAAAGGAACAAGCTTGCTCAAGAGGAACCATTTCCAAGCTGCTCCTGGCGGTGAGCACAGGCCCTGACGGGAAGGTTTGGCGTGGAGACCCTGGCCGAGAGCAGCATCTAGCGGTGACTGCGGCTGGGGGGCCGCCGGAGCTCGGCCCTCGCCCCGTCGCTGGGGTGGATGGCGCAGAGAGCAGGCACACGGCGCTCTGAAACAACCCCTGGTTTTGCTCCACCAAAGAAAATCTGTTTCTGGCTGAAGCATTTTGCTGAACCCAATCTTGGTTTTTAACCAGGTCCGTTTTGATTTATTTGGGAAAAGGCAGCTTGGAGGTTGTTTCCCAGCTCCCACCTTCCTGAAGCAAAGCTCTGGAGCAGCCTTGGGACAGGGCAGCGGCCGCCTGGCGAGCTGGGGACAAGCCCGCAGGGACGCGAAACCACACAGCCCTTCAAGGACAAGGGAACCCCTCCGTGCCACCCACGGCGCATGGGGAGACCTTCCAGATAGAGCCAGTCCTCCTCCAGACTTGCTCTTCCCACCCAAACCACACGAAAGGGGACAGAGCATCTCGCCACACACAGAGAAAGCTCTGCGTAGCCCGGCTCCCTCTGCCCGCCTTGCCGCCCCAGCCCCGGCGGCGAGGGCAGCGATGCCCAGGCAGACGGGCACTGCCAGCCCTCAGAGCCCCGCATCCTCTGGTCTTTACTGGGATGGCGAAACCCAGCCCCGCCGAGCTGCTAGAGCTGGCTGCTGTCACCACGCTCTGCTGCCCGGAGGGAAATCCCTGCGCGGGCGCAGAAAGCCTCCTGTGCTGGGTCTCCAAGGCATTTTGGAAAGGTCTGCGTGCGAACCTCAAAGCCCCTGCAGCGGGAGGTCTGGAGAGGGGCTCTGGGGGTGCGCGGAGCTGAATTTCAGCCTTTCAGCCAGGAGATGTCCTCATCCCCTCCGCTGCTGAACCTCCTGCCAAGTCTGAGAAGGAAAGGAAGGGACCTTGGGACCAGGCAGCAATAACTCTCCTCCTTCCCCAACCTCAGCATCACGCTCAGCCCCTCCGGCTGGCGACAAAGCCTGCGGGTTTCTGGCCCATAGATCCTCGCGCCCTGCCGAGGCATGGGAAAACGAAACAGAAGCTGGGAGCCTGGCCTCAGCATGCCCAAGTTTGGGGACTTATTTGGAGAGGCGAGGCGAAAAGCTTTGGTTAGGCGAGGAAGCAAAGCCACGCCCCTGCCGCGGGTACCGGAGAGGCTGGCGGGGTCCCCCAGGCAGAGGAGGGGGCGAAGGAGGCTGGGGGAACATCCCGGGCAGGAGAGGCAGGGCTCGGCACGGAGTTCACCTCCTTCTGCAGGAAAGGGCTGCGAAGCTTGCCTGGAAAAGGAGCGAAACGTGCTGCAGGAGGCGGGCAGGCATCGAGGCTTCCAGCCGCACGGCGACAGCCCCGCGGCTCCCCAGGAGTTAGTCACCGAAGGGTGGTGTCGGATGCTTTTTGCCTTAGGTTATTCGCCTAAACAGGATTTTCCAGCTCTAATCCTGGTTGTGGAAAACAAGTTTGTCTACTGGTTACAGCAGTAGCTGCAGCCAAGCAAAAAAATAAAAAAAGACATAATTTTAGGGAGGAAGAGTAACCGGAGGACACCACCACCCAGGCCCTGCTCTCCAGGCTCTCTAGGGGGATTTTCGGAGCACCCTGGATTTCACAGACATTAGGCCCAGCAACTGGGAGAGGCACGATTCAAACTGGTTGCTGCCAGCCTTCTAAGCCCTTTCCTTTGGCAGAAGGTGACTGCGCGCTGTTATCTCCCCCATCGACACCTCTGAAGCAAACAAAAGCAAAGCAGGAGTTGCCAGGCAAGCCCTGCCCCGGCACAGCAGTGAATATGCACCAGGACTTGCCAGCCTGCCCTTAGCCCGCGGGTTTTGTCGGTGCCAGGGCATTTGTCTCCTCTGCCTCCATTGAAAAACATCAAATACTAACACAAACAAGGGAAATCCTGAGGGATTCCTCGGCCTCACAAATCAGCCTCCCCGCCGTGATGTTTAAACGGCAAGAGAGACATTTTCCCACCCTGGGATTTCATCCCGTCCCGCCGATGGCTTGCCCACACAAGAAAGCACGTTTGCGCTCCCATCACAAAATAAAAGTGCTTATTCCAAAGTAATTCAAGCCACTTTCAAGGGGGCCGAGCTGAGGAGGAGACGCTCATCCAGGGATGTGACGTGTTCTCAGCGACTTCCTCGGCTGGTTTCAGCTTCGGTTTTCACAGCTTCCTGCTTCTATCGGATAGATCAGATCGGTCTTTTCTAAAGGGCTGCACTCCCGCTTGGTTCAGCGGGGCAAAAAATCGGGCGGAATTTACGGCAGCCAGGAGAGATTGCAACAGTGGTCCCTTTCTGGCATTAATATATTTAATTTTCATTTTAAAAATCAAATATAAGCCTCATGAGTTGACTCAAAGTATGGAAAACTTCAGTCTCGGCTGTTAAAACCTGGCGCAGCAAGAGCCTTACCATGAAAACCGTCACGTGAGCCGGGTGTGAGACATCGCCCTGCCTACAGCCGAGAGCAGCGGCCTCACGGGTATCGCGCCCACCCCAAACACACGCTCCCCGCGCTGGGAGCACTCTCTGCCCGCAGATTCACCCGGTGCGGGGAACGGGAACCGGCTCACGCTGCCCGACCCGCTGCCGGCGCTGCGCCCCGCACCATACCTGGCTGGGAAGCCGTCGCCGCGTCCGCCGGCACCGACTTCTCCTTCTGCTTAAAGATGTCCCGGGGGTTCACTGCCCTCTGCGCTATCAGCGACGCAGCCTCCTGAGAAGGCGAAGAGCGCAGAAACCCTGCGGTCAAGGACCACGGCCTTGGACGGGGAGCAGCCCCCCCACCGCTGCACGAGGCGCGGAGCCGAGCCGACGCAGCCCCCCCAGCAAAGCGCTCGGGCTCCTGGCAGCGTACCTGGGCTTTCTCCACCGATTCGCTTCTCTTGAAGCCCTTCCGCTGCCTGGCGTCGTACTCCTCGGCTTGCTCCTTCTGCAGCACAACAGGGGGTCTGCTGCAGCCTTGGCGGGCGCCCAGCCAGCCCCCCCCTTCCCCAGGGACCAGAGGAATGGGAACAAGGAACAGACACGGCGACGAAGGGTGAATGGGGACGAAACCCCCTGGGTCTGGGAGGGAGAGGCAGGAGGTTTGCTGGGCTGAGGGTAAGGACTTGGCTCCCTCCAGTGTCCCCAGGCTCTTCTCCAGAGTTTTCAACTCTGCTTTCCCCAGAGGCCGTGGCTGGACCGGCCATTGGGAGCATGTGGCCAGCGTGAGTAGAGATATAAAGCGAGATCCAGCAAAATCAAAGTCCATCCAACAAAACTGAGGATGGAGCAAGAGACCTGGGGGACCAGCTCGTGGCACCTCTCCTGCCAGAGGGTGTCCGTGGGCCTTTCCACGTCCCCCGCCTGCCGTGACAACGCCTGGGGTGCTCCTCCATCGCCCTCCTGCCTCTCCCCGCAGCGTGGTCTGCACCCGAGCACCCTGTCCTCTCCGTCATGGGGGATGTGCGAATAAACCTGCCACGGGGGACAACGCCAAAGCTCACCCATTGCTGCTGCTCCCTGTCCCTGTTCTCTGCCTCCTGCTGCTGCTGGAGTCTCCTGCGGTGACAAATGACAAACTGGGGTTAACAAACAGGCAGGATGAGCGGTTTGCTCTGCACAGGGCTGCTCTGGGACCTCACCCTGCTGCAGCTACACTTTGCTTCTTGGGGAAGACCAAAGAAGGGCCGTTCCCCCTCACCTCCGGGGCCAGACAAGGAGCCACAGGCCACCGCCGGAGCCGTGCAGGGGGCAAGAGCAAGGAGCGAGGGGCAGAGTAGCAGGAGCTGCTTCAAACAGTGGGACCAAACCAGGGAAATCTCTTCCTTCAGGGGCACGGACAAGAGCACCCGGCACGGAGGGGCCGGGCAGACTTCCCCATCCGAGCTCAAAACAGGAAGGCAGTGCCCGCTGCTGCTCGCCGAAGTGAGCTCCGCCACCTAACAGGGGTCACGCCGGGCTTGGAGAGGAAGGAAATCAGCACAATGCCGGTCCTCGCACAGGCCGCTCCTCCCTGCAGGGCGCAGAGCCCTCCACCAGCCGGCCCGGACCTCCGGCACCCCACAAATGGTGGCCACAGATTTCGACGATGTCTTTGAGAAGCACCCTGCAAGGGGGGGACTTGGTCCTGGGGGCAGGATCCACGGGTGATGCTGGACAAGCAGCCGAGCTTGCTGGCGGGTCGGCCAGGGGCTCGCTGGGGGACGCCCAGCCGGGGAGCCCGCAGGTCAGCCAGACCAGCCGGGCCAAACCTCTGGCACCGCTCCAGGAAGGTGAGCGAAGGCAAACACAACTCATTTGCGCGTCGGCAGGAGCAGACGGACGCTCGAGATGCACAGGGGCTATCAGGAGGATCGGACCTGCGGATCGCGGTGCCCGAGGGCCGCGTGCTGCAGGGGCAGCCGGGCTGAGCCTGCCCCGGCACAAGCCGAGGCAGATAGCCTCCACAGCTGCTGCCTTAAAAGAGGTTTCCTGGAATTGCAGCGATTGCAGCAGCTGGGAACACACGGACACGATCCGCCGCTCCCTGAGGCACAACCCTCCGCTGGCAGTGCAGGGGCTGGAGCGGGGACAGCAGCTCGGGAGAGGTGGTGACAAGGGCACGCAGCACCACCGAGAGCAAAGCCACGAGATCCCAGAGAGCGGGCCGGGCTCCGGGAATCATTACGAACGCTTGTCAGCGGCAGGGACTCACTTCTGGGCTTCGATTTCGTTGGATCTCGCTTTGTATCTCTGTTCTCGCCCCGCCGCTTCCTGCAGCTCCCGCTCCTGACGCTCTCTCTCTAGCCGCTGCCGCTCCTCCTCCGCTCTCCTCTTCTCCTCTAGCCGGCGGTTTTCTTCATCTTTCTAATGGGAGACATGCATCAAGTCGTGAGTTTAATGCTGCCAGCTCTGAGAACCCCCCAGCTCTTTGCACGCCGCGCTGTGCCCCCAGCCAGCACGGCAGATCTCCTGCAGCTCCCCGGGCGCCCGGCGCCCGTAACGCTTCCGCAGCCTGAAGGTGCACGCACTGTAAAACCCCGGGGTAAAGCAACCGGAATGGGAAGCAAATACAGAGCAGACTTGCCCTGCTGTCCAGCCTTGGAGAGCTGCCTTCAGAAAGGTCAAAACCCAGCCCCCTCACCCAAATGGCATTTGCCATCCACCAGGAGCCGGGTCACAGCCCAGCCCTCTCCCCTGCGCCTGCCCCAGCAGCCCCGAGCCAAATTAAGATGAGATAAAAAGCATCTTGCTCTTCAAGCCCAATTTCTTCCTCCCCTTGCACCCCAAGGCAGCAGGACCTCTGCAGCCAGCCCAGCGCCATGCTGCTTTCCCCCCTTTGCCAGAGGTCTGGATCCCTGACTCGGCGCAGGAGAGCCCAGGTTAGAGAGGGACGATGCAGACAGAGAGAAATCTCCAGCTACATCCAAATGCCTCCTCCTGCTCACACCTGGCTGCTGAAGAGAAGCGGCAGCACTCACCTCAGCTTTGGCCCAGAAATTATCTTTATTGACTCTCTTGATTTCGGACATCGCATTCGTCTTCTGGTAGACAGAGCCCTGGGGGAGGCAGAAGGCGGCACGCGTGAGCAGTAGTCACCGAGCAACCACAATTTTCGCGTCCCTCTGCAGAACCGTGTCCCCGTGGCTTTCTGGCAGCTCTCTCCTGCTGCCGCGGGACCGGGCAGGCCCTCTTCGCCTTCCCCTGGCAGAGGGCACCCAGCCCCGCACAGCCACGGGCCAGCAGGCTGGGTTGAAGGGGTCAATGGAAGATATTTAGCACAAAGAGTTAACAAAAGAGACACTTTCTGATAGAATATAACAGCAAAACCAGCACGGTCCCGTGTTCAGCACAGTCTGTGACTTTTTATAAGTTACTATAACCTGATGCTTTGCCCCAGACTTTAAAGAAGGGCTGGCTTCATGAAGCCCAGCGATGTGCATGTTGCCAAAACCGGGGACTTCCAGCCTGGTTTTCCTCTTGCCTCAAGCAAAAATCAGGTTGCTGAAGCGCTGCAGAGCCCAGGCTGGAGCAGCCAGCAGAGGAGCGACCAGGACGCCGGGAACCTGGTGCTGCCGCACCGAAGCGGGGCCAGGGGCAGAGCGAGGGCCTTGCACAGCTCAGGTTTGCTCTTTACCCACATCTCAGAGCAGGGTCAAGCGATTCAGAGTTGGAGAGCACGTGCGGCTGAGCTTCTCCTTTGTGCAGCTGAGAAACCTCGCTCGCTTGGCGTGTGTCAAAAAAACACCTTCCACAGAGCATTTCCACATAGGCAGAAAGGACGCTGCTGACATCTCTGGCCTCGACACTTCACCGCACCGGGGGAAGCCTCAGTTTTCGTTTGCAAGCAGGTCAAAACACCGCTGCACCGACACGTCTTGTTCCCTGTCCCTCGGCTGCACCACAGCCTCGGAGAAGGCCCAGGCCTCGCAGATACTCTGCAAATTTGAAAAGCTGGAGCTTTTGTGTCTCTACAAACCTGAATAGAACCGGGGGGAATCAGTCCTGCTTAAAAAATTGGTTGGGCCTATGCAGAGGAGAGCTTAGGCTTTCTGTTTGCTGCACAGACACCTCGGCTCTGCCACCACCCCGTGCTCTCGCCCCGATTCACTCTGCAACGAGCCAGAGAGAGGAACCAGCCCTGGGCAAAACCATTGGTGCTTCCAGGGCCACGTCAAAGCACGGGGATCCCCTTGCACCGCAGGGGGACGGTGGTCCTCGACTCTGTCCCTGCCCGACTGCGAGCCGGAGGGACGAGAAAGCTCCCACGGAGCAAACTCACCACCGGCGCCTGAGGGCCCGCGTCCTGGAACTTGCTGCTCTCCTTGTGGAAGTTGTAGTTGGCCCCAGAGGCCTTGGCAACCTTCTCCATGATGAGCTCAGGCTCCACGTCCTCCTCCGCGCGAGCGTTGATGGTGACATGAGCCCCCTGAGCAGGAGAAAGCCAGCACAGGAGTGAGAGGGCGGATGCCAGGGGCCACTAAACCCACCACGCGGCTTCGCCGGGCCCTCTCTGCGCTCCTGGAGCTCCCGAGGGAAGGAAAAGGGCTCAGGTGACAACGGGAGGTCACTGGCCACTCTAAGATAACGCAACGCTGGGAAAGCACATGCTTGCGAGGGACTGTTTTTGACCGCAAGAGGTTTGTGTTGCGCATCAGCCTCTGAAACGGCTCTCTTATGCACCGCAGGGAGCACCGGGTGCTGGGGCAGCGCTCCCCGGCCTCTCCGGGCCACGCTCCTGCCTGCCAACAGGCGCCTCCGTGCCACCCCAAGAGCAGCGCGAGCCGCGCAGGGCGCAGCTCCCCAGCCCGGGGCCCACCGATGCGGAGAGGGCGCCAGGAAGAGGACCAGACCTTTAGGAAGTTTGCTACGGTGCTGACGTGGTTGGCGCAGGCTCCTTTTCTGACGTCATTCACGCCTTCGCCCGTCTGCAAAGAGAAACCATCGGCACCTGCTTACCCCAGAGTCCCATCCCAGGCTGCTTTTATAGCAGCAGCACCTTGATCGAAGCCTGCAAATCATCGGCGCTGGCCAGGGCGAGGGCTTCACCAGGGCTCGCTGCGTGGGAAAAGACCCCGCTCTGCAGCAGGTGCTGCCCGGAGGGAGAGCGAGCCTCCTGCCCAGGGACGACGGCCGCACCGCGAGCGCTCCAGGCTCCTGCTGGTCCTCAAGCGCTTCATTCACCCCACCTTAGATGGGTTCAGAGCCATTTACCGGCAGCGTCACCGCCAGCCGGGTGAGCTACGTGGCCAAAGAGATGCAACGGGGAGGCGAATCCTCCCAGCCTCTCGTCACCTGTGTGCATGGGGTTTGGACCAGGCGCCCGCCGCAGCGGGCACGGTACGCCCTCGGCATTGCAGCCTGGTGGAGGGGATTCAACACGCTGCCTGCGAGCGGTTGGCAACTACAATTCCAGAGAGAATCGGAGGGAGAAACAGTCATTTATTTCCACCAGGTCCCCACTCACCCAGTTGACGAGGACGTATTTGGGCAGGCCGGAGTTGGGATCCTTCACCCTACAGAAGGCGTACATCACCTTCCCGCTGTTGAGCTCCTCCACCATCTCCTCCAGGCCACCATCTGCCCCGGGAAGGAAACGAGAGGCGTGAGACGAGCCGACCACGTACAGGTGGAGGGCACGGCCGAGCCTGCAGAGCTTGCAGCCGCCTGGCTGTTTATTTCCCGGAGATTATTCCTGGTAGATTTGGAGTTGTCCTACACCGAGAGTATTTCAGACCACTCGCGTTTGCCCTGGTCCTTCCACTACCTGCTCATTTGCGCAGGAGCCGAGCCTCAGCCCGCTCTCACCCACGCCCCCGTCCCCAGCAGCCTTCGCCACCAGAGCTCCTCTTCCTCAGACCTTCACTGCGACAAGCACAAATCCGCGTACGGAAAGATCCCGGGTCCATAACGCAAGTCAAGGGACGAGGGAGAAGGGAAAGGAGATGCTTGCGTGCCCCAGACTAATTAGAGGCTTTAACCAGAGCAGGCAGCTGCAAACTCTGCCCACAGCTTCCTACATGAAACCGCACCGCAAGGTCTCCGGCGAGCGCCTCCAATGCCAGAGAACAGCTCAGCAATGATCGGAAAAGTCCCGAGAAGCGGCAGAGGAACTGGCTACGCCTTGTTCCCGTCCCACCTTCTACGTCGGGCGGCGGCTGCGACGAGCCCTGCTTCGTCAAACGGGAAGTAGAGAAGAAACCGAGACGAGGAGACCCCTGCCCTTGCGCCCTCCTTGCTGGCGTTAAACCCACGGGGCCCCTCCCGGCAGGTCTTTGCAGGGGCTGCTCTCAGCTACGAGCTCGGGGACGAAGGAGGAGAGCCCACCTCTGCACAGGGGAAAAAAAATTGTGCAAGGCTCAGCAGAGGGGTTGTGCAAGGCGGGCGAGGGATGGAAAGGGCTACGTTGCCCCACGAACCGCAACATCACTCTCGCTAAAAGCGTATGCCAAAAAACGACCAGAAAAGGAGGAAAAAAGCAAAAACATGCTCTCATTTCAAAAAAATTCCCACAGACCACGATTCCTCCTACTTTGGTTTGTCTGACCCCTGAAAAGTAGAAGACAAGCTACTGCTTAGCATCAAACACCAGCAGCAACTGCACAGCCCAGTCTGTTTTGCTCTGCACTGCAGCAGGACCCGAGATCATTTTCTTCTCCGCTATTAAATATTTATGCTTTGGCTCTAAATTTGGCACGGTGGTTTCCAAGCCTAGCAGAAAAGTTTAAGGGCAGAAGTCTGAAGGAGGCTGGCTGACGGAGCCCTGGCCGGGCACCGGGAGGGTTCCGGGGCTGCGTCTTTGCCGGGTGGATGTTTAACGCGGCGGCCACGGAAGGACACAAAGGGAAGCGCTGGGAGGAGCAGAGCTCTGCGGAGAGGTCGGGGCTCCGGTAACAGGGAGCAGCAGTTAAGCTGCGCCTAACTAAGCAGGGTCCAGCATGAGGACCACATGGGACTTTTAATTTACAGACAAAACCCGCCAAGCAGCTAACACCCGTGCGAGCCCTGCGTTCGGATCTCTCTTCCACACAAGCCTAACCCTTCAACGGCGGCCCACCCGCGCCTCCGCCCCGCCGACGGTCCCCCGCAGCCGCTCTCTAGCGCAGATCCGGTGCTCAGGCAGTCGCATCCTCTGCAGCCTCCCCGGGGCTCCCCGCAGCCCTCGGTAACAGCTTTGGCTGAACACAAGGCCCCGGCACCAAACAACCCACAACGGGGGCTTTGCCGGACCCTGCAAAGCTGCCCAGGAACGTCTCACCTGACCGCAGTAACCGAGAGCTTCGTGGGTCGTGAGAAACACTTGCAAATGAGAAAGGCAGCCGGGAGGGAACAGAGCCGAGCGCTGGAGGATGCAAATCTAGAGAGTGGAGAAACCTGCCTGGATGCGTTGCTTTCTACCAGCGTTAGCTTTGCATCAAGAAGGATTTGTGTGGGAATCGGCAGCCGGATAAAAAAAATAAAGTCCCACGAAGCAGGGAACCAAAGAAAGAAGAGGCACTTTAGCTGCAGCGAGCTGGAATTGCCAGCCTGAGAAAGCCGGCTTTGAAGCGCTTCGTGGTCCTGCCTTCATCTTGCCCTGCGGCCGGCTGGGATCTACAATACTTCGGGACTGCAAAGGGGTACAAGGAACTGAACTTTGGATCCTTCGGAAAAGAGGAAAACGAAAGGGAAGAAGAAGGCAGAGCCACGCACGCGCCTCTCCCGCCTGCCACCGAGACTCTTCTCCACTTCCCTCGCTCAGAAACCGCACCGAACACCCCGCTGCTCCCAGACGCGCGCTCTCGCCCCCGTCCCAGCGCCGAGGGGCGAGAACAGGCTCAGGGACTGAAATAAAAATCAGCCTTCAGTGAGGGGCGAGGGAGCGAGCACCGCTTCCCGCCGCTGGAGCCCTTCCAGGCAGAGGCTGGATGCCACCAGAAGCACCGAGCGACAAAAGCCAGCCAGACCTCGTGAGCCGAGCCCTGCAAACAGCCCCAGCCTGGGCCGGCGGCGCCAGGCCGGGGGGACGGTCCCTAACACGCTCACCTCCGCAGCCGGCCACGCGCAGGTCGTTGCTGTTGCCTTCATAGGTGAACAGAGCCCTAAAACAAAGCCAGAAGCGGAGGTTTTATCCAGCCCGGTGCGAAACGCTCGCCCCAAACCTCACACCCCGTCACCGACCCCTCCGGACCCTCTGCAGCGCACCCAAAACACTGCCCCGTGCTGACGGTACCCGTCCGGGGTGTCCGCACGCCCCGGAGGCCCCCGCTGCACCCAGCTCCATAGGGCCCCCACCCCAGGCTCCTGCCCCACA